CGGCGGGTGGGCCCCCCCGAGCTGGAGGCAGTACCCTCTAACGCGCCCCTCCACCCCGTAAATGACCCGCCAAGCGCAGAGCTGTACCCCTCCGGCTCCTCGGCGGTGCCGACGCGGGGGCTGAGGTCGCCCGTCGCCCCGAGGAGCCCTTTCCTGGCGCTTTGCCCTCCTGATCCCTCTCCCCGCTGCAGAATTTTGTCATGTTCAGGACGAGGAATGAGCGTTTCTGGATCGGGCTCACCGACGAGAACTCGGAAGGGGAATGGGAATGGATTGACGGGACCGACTACAAAACCACCTTCACGTGAGTGTCGCCCTGCGCTGCTTTTTTCGGGGCCGGCAGCCCAAAACAGCCGCCGGCTTCCCTGCCTGCGCCTCCCGTGCCCCGTTTCACCCCTCAGACCGGGTTTTTTCACCCTCTCCCGGACGGGCGTTCACACGAGGTCTACTGGCAGCAGAGGCAAAGAATTGGGCTGTAAAACCATCAAAACCCAGGCGGATTTTGGGAGTCGCTGCCCTCCTCCCCGTCCCGGGGAAAGCTCGGCCGCCCGTCTCCCGTCTCCCTCGTTCACTTTGCTCCTTCCCCGCTCAGGTTTTGGAAAGAGGGAGAACCCAACAACAGCGGTCACAACGAAGATTGCGCCCACGTCTGGATCTCCGGGAAGTGGAACGACGTCTACTGCACCTACGAGTGTTACTACGTCTGCGAAAAGCCTCTGCCCAACTGAGCGGCGCCGGGCGGCGGAGGCACCGGCCGACGCTGCGGCACCGCAATTCTTTCCCTTTTTCTTCTTAATTTATACTATCCGCTCTGCCTCCCTGCCGCGCTGGCCTGAGGAAGAGCAGGGATGGATTTTGATGGTCCTAAGCAATATCCGCAGGAATCCGGGTGCTCCGTGGGGAGCTCAGCCTAATAAAGGACGATTATTGCTCCGGTTAACGAAGGTCCTGTGTGTGTGGGAAGGGGGTGGATGGGTTGGGGCTGCGGAGGGACGTGGGGAAGGTCAGCAGCGCCGCCGGGAGTGAGCTGGGGACAAGTGGGACGGACGGGATAATGGGTTAAAACTAAAAGAGCGGAGATTTAGATGAGATAGAAGAAATGGTTTGAGCTGAGGGTGGTGAAACGGTGGCCCAGGTTGCCCCGAGAAGCTGTGGCTGCCCCATCCCTGGAGGTGTTCAAGGCCAGGTTGGACGGGGCTTGGGGCAACCTGGGCTGGGGGGAGGTGGCCCTGCCCAGGGCAGGGGGTGTCACTGGGTGATCTTTAAGGTCCCTTCCCACGCAAACCCTTCCATGGTTCAATGACCCCATCCCATCCCATCCCATCCCATCCCATCCCAGGTACAGCGCTGTCCCATCTCACAAACAACTCACTGTTACTTAGCAACAGCTGTCAGTGTTACGTAGCAACGGTTGTCATGGTCACCCAGCGGCTGTTGTTGCTGCTGTCCCACCCCCAGGCAACCCTCAGCGCCGGGGGCCTGTACCCCCCATGCCCCGCACCCCCGTGGGTCCCCGCCGCCCGATGGAAACCAG